TCCTCCTCTTGTCCTCCTTCTCCTCCTCCTCCTCTTGTCCTCCTCCTCCTCATGACCTCCTGCTCATGCCCTCCTCCTCCTCTTGTCCTCCTCCTCCTCTTGTCCTCCTCCTCCTCTTGTCCTCCTCTTGTCCTCCTCCTCCTCTTGTCCTCCTCCTCTTGTCCTTTGTATGAATATATATATATAACATTACAAACTCGTCTAACCCTACAAATACGTCTTATTCTGCTCGTGTATTAAAGACGAGCAGCTTTGGTTTCCGTGTAAACGTCACCGACTTTAAACGTTTCCGTTTGTTTCCTGTTTTGCTGATGCGCTGACGTCGTTACGCCACAGATTTCCTCCGACTGCCAGAGCCGCTGCAGTCAGTACAGCTCAGCAGCTCCGTGCTGCCCCTCAGCAGGCCTCTGGAAGCTGGCCAGTCAGAGGACAGTGGGCTTTGAGGGAGGAGGGGCTTAAAGAGACGGGAGCTGAAGCAGCTTGTTTCAGACAGAGGATGATCCAAGCACAGACACAGAAGGATTATTCTGAACTGGAAGTTATGCAAAGCTGCTCATATATTAGAAATAAGCAGCTGGAAACGAGCAGAATGGGTCCCTGTAAAGACATTTCAATCATCCACGGAAGACTGACGCGTGCTTTTTTTTTAGTTTGATTTTATAATTCAGGCGGTTTAGTGGCTTAGTATGGACAATGTTTCACATGCACTGAATGAGCTGCTTAGCATTAGCAGATTTTATAATAATCTTTGGGTTGAAGTTCTTCAGTATTTGTCTGTTAATCTTCAAAACTGGAAAATGTGTAAAAACTGAGGGAACCACTGGAGGACGTTTAACTGAATCATTTTGTTTTATAAATGTGACGAATGATCCAAGCTGGCTGTCGACTTTCTGTTTGACCTTCGACCTCAGGAGAGCGTTAGGTCGTGCAGCGTCTTTCGTGCAGGTCAGAGCACGACGGACGAGCCGAACAAACAAACCCTGAGATTGGAGACGGTGAAGGAGCCCGAGGCTGAAACGCACTGGCCTCCTAATAATTCCTGATCAGCGTGTCGTTATCTCTAACTCGGATCCGTGTAGAGAAGCAGCGTTTCTGTGACATCATCAGTGTGACGTCGGAGCCACAGGTTTCCTCACAGCCGGAGAACTTCACGGTGAAGTCGTCCAGTTTGGTGGCGTTTCTGTTTTTTACCTGAACAGTGATGATTGAGCAGTGCTTCTGTTGATTTTCTTTTGTGCCAAATGTGTTTCTCTCTCTGTGATGAGCTCTGTATTTCAGTCGCACTGCGTCTTTTCACACCAATGTCCTGCAGCCTTTCAATAAAAACTGAACTGTTATCGCAGCCTTCGTCTTCCTCACAGATCACACGGAGTCTCCATGAGTGATGTAATCCAGAGGCAGACTCCCACAGACAGACTGAAGTGGAGGGTGTTTTGTTTTTTGTGTTGATAACAGATGCAATAGGCTGAGAGGATGCTCAGACTGAAACGAGCTTGCAGGACGTGAACAAACTGCCTGAAGCACCAGCTGAGTTTAAGTTCCCCTCAGGTTCTGTGCTGGTGCGATGCTGCCACCTGGTGGTGATGAAAAGGAATGCCCAGTGACGGTGCAGCTTACAGAAACACAACAAGCTCAGAAACTGAGACTAAAGCCCCCCGGGGGGGGGGGGTGAGGATGGACCACCCAGCTGAGCCACCGTGTCTGTAGCTCCACACGTGATGTCATCCATCATTTAGGTTTACTGTGATTACACAGATTGTGTAGATTACCGGTGAGTAACTCAAGCTTATAAAATATTACATTACACAGTTTGTCACCGACTCTGCAGCTCGGCTTTTCTCCTGACAGTCTTTACACATACAGCAGGTCAGCGTGACAAAGAGGAAGCTGTGAGGTCAGAGGTCAAATACTTTATTGTTGTACGGTACTCCGTCTGTCACAGAGAACTAAAAGAGTCCATGCACAACTTCCTCATGCTCCTCGACAGGTGCAGAACCGAAAATACAGGCCAAAGAAGAAGTAACGGTTCTCCCACCGCAGAGCTCCAGAGTCCTTATTTCATGCATCCGATGATGTCTCGAGCACACCTGCAAGAATCACAGCTTCTTGGTTTTTAGGCTCTTTTGTCAGGTTAAGGAGACAGAACCTCAAAGACATCCCACACAACATAACCTGCTGTGAGACGGCGTGCTCCTAGAACACGTGAAGCATCGTCGGCTTTCTTTGTCAAACATGATCAATTCATCCTAAAAAGTCGATTCTGTCCATCTGGATGTTTTTCAGCATCATCAGGTGACGTCTTCAGTCTCAGCTGACTGCAGGTCCCCAACCTCATAAACAGCACATCTGCACAGTGACGCTGACTAACAACGGGCGAGGAGGTCAGTTTAGGATCATTAATATGCAAATTGTCATGACCCCTGATCAAAGCCCATTGGTTGGCTATGTCTGCAGTGTGAGGCCAAGCGTCTGGTTCCTACATCACGCTGTTCTGCTCTGCCTCAGAGTGATTAACCCTTTAAAGCAGGGGTGGGCAACTGACCCAGGGTGATATCTAAAACCTGCAGGACACCGGCCCTCGAGGCGTGGAGAATCCACCCCAGCTTTAAACCCTAACCCAGGGCTGCCCAATCCCAGTCCTCGAGAGCTACTGTCCTGCAGCTTTTAGATGCATCCCTACTCCAACACAGCTGAATCAAATGAATGGCTTGTTATCAGGCCTTTGCCAAACACGATGGCATGCTGAAGAGGTAACCAAACCATTTGATTCAGCTGTGTTGGAGTAGGGATGCATCTAAAAGCTGCAGGACGGTAGCTCTCGAGGACCGGGATTGGGCACCCCTGCCCTAACCCATCGCTGGCGACCGGTTAGGGTTTAAAGGGTTAATAGTGCCATTTGAATCTGTCCTGGTGTAGGACTTGCAGCCTGGAACAGCCAGACTTCCAGTTACAACCTTCAGCTGGTCCTCGTGAGCCACAGACACCCCAAAGCTCCGGAAACAAAGAGCACGTTTAAATGAAAGATGAGCCACATGCTCCTCTCTGCATGGATTCATGACAAACGGTTTTAATGGAGCAAGCGGAGGCGTTCACAGTCTGACCAGCAGGCGGCCTCGTCCTCCATCAGCCACAGCAGGATTTAAAGTCCTGATGAATCCACGAGTGTCGCTGAGCTCTGACAGATGTTCGACTGAGAAACCTCAAAACTCAGAGACGGTTCGATGGGTCGATTTATCGCTGAAATAAAGACGTTCACGCACGCAGAGTTCAGTTTCATCTTTAATACTGAAATATTCAGAGAACAGAGATGAACGTGGACGACTGACAGTTTCTATTCAGTGGATGAAGACGGGCGACAGCGGCAGGAGGGGGAGGAGTCAGCTGCTGCATTCACTGTTTGCAAAGTAAGTTGAAATTCTTCTTCTGTGGTTTTTCCCAAGGAATCATCCAAACATCCACGTGACACTGAAACACCTGAAAAACAGAAGAATCGTTTTACAGTACAACATGCACTACTGCAAGTTTTACTGCAGTACTTCCACTGCCAGGATTTCCAGTAATACTGCAGGAAGTGGTTTTATGTAATCATTTTATTTCAAATTATTTCAAACTGTCTCTGGCATCAACAATACTGCACAAATTTCCCATGATGCACTGCAGCTCACAGTGTTTGTTTCTGAGGCTTTACAGTATTGTACTGAGCAACTGTATAGACTCTCTGATGAGACGAGGAGGCTCGACCTCAATCTTCATCCAGTCTTCTCTGCTCCTGTAATGCTCTCATTAAAGGTTTTATTATAACAGATGACACATCCTGTTTCTCAGAGTTTGGATGGAGTCAAAGTTAAGCAAGAAAGGGTTAGTCTTTCCTCTACAGTTGGCAGCTCAGACTCACCTGGTGGAGCGGACCGGGTGGCTGGAAGTCACACCTGGACAGGTCGTTGTTCTTGTCCCGTTTACGACACACCGTTCTGGAAATCTGAAAATCTGCCATGTACCGAACTCCTTTAACAATCTGAAACACACACACACACACACACACACACACACACACACACTTAGCGAGCACCTCACATGGAACCGCCCCCTACGCCAGCATGAACCCACGCCTGCCATATTTCCTGCAGATGCAGTGGTTGAACTCTGACCCCGTCATACCTGCTTCTGTGCTCTGTCGATGGTGGCGGGTTTGAAGAGGAAGGCGTCATTTGATTCGTTGTTGAAGAAGTAGGTGGCGTTGAGGACAACCTGCTGGAGGCCACGGTCATTCTTGCTGATGTTGTGTGGGGACCCGGGCATGGAGGGGTGATGATGCCAGCCAGACACCAACGTTCCCTCTGGAAGAGAAGAGCACCTACCGTCAGAGACGTGTCAAGTTTCTTCCTGTTAAAAGGGTGTTTTCCCTTTCCACTTGTAACAGCCACT